TCTAAAAGTGCATATGGACTATTGACATTCTCTTTTCAAATGCAAATCATTAATTCTTTAAATGAAACACCTATTTGGATGTCTTCTAATTGGACATCTATAAGCAAATTATAGAGAAAATTGAGATTTCAGATAACAGCATCAAATATATGCATGGGGATTATGATGTATGACCCTAAGTGCCTTCATCCCTTACTGCAGCTTGTATTCACAGAGAGACCTGAAGGGAGGATCTTATCACGAGAATAACAAAAACTGAGTGTTTGGTAGCAAAGACCAATAGCTTTGAGAATTAAAGAAGAAATTCATCTCTCTCCAGAGAGTAAAATGGAGGTGGTGGTGAATTAATGAATTAAAATGTCAAAGAACTTGTGAAGTCTTGAAGATAATGCCTGAATATAAGATGAAAGCCAGGCATGCTATATTGTTTTGATAAAATGAAAAATACAGTTAGGTTGGCCGTAAGCAGTTTGCATAATCTCTCAGACTGAATAGAGAAAAAAGAGAAGATAATAGGGAGAAGTTATGTGAAAAATGTAGTGTATAATAGGTACTTGGCTAACAATCCCTTTGACCGTTAACTTAAAAAAATAAATCTTTATATTAATGAAACATTTTTTCGCCAGAGTGAAATCCAGTTTTCATTGAAAGTAAAGTTCTCCTGTGAGCATAATTAAAATGTTTGGCTGTGGATAGAATTTGATAGGTTTTCTCACGTAACCAAGTATGGCCAGGCCAGATCAGCTGGCCTCCACTTTAAGCAGGATTCCATTGGCCCAGAGTGTTGCACCCTCCACCAGTCCAGATGTGTCTTCCTTGTGTAATTTTAAGTGCTAAAAAAAAAAAAAAAAAAATTCTAGATCATCTCCTCCTAGGCAGGGAGACTTCTCGTATTTCATTGCTCGGTTAGGTTATGTTCTATCTTCTTAAAACAGTTACTGGCAGGAATAAAGCTTACTACAGTTGGCCTGTACCACTGGTCGAATCGGAGACGCTGGGCTTGGCTTGTTAAAGCCAAGGCCGCTGGCCCCAGCGTGAGTTCCTGCTTCAGGTCTTGGATGGAGTTCCCAGATGAGCTGACGCTGCGGGCTTGGGAACCATTTATTCACTGAGAACAGACTTTGACTAATACGTATCCCCTCCAGAACTGGAGAATAAGGTGACGTTCCCTGAGCAAATGGCTGAGCGGAGGAGCGTGAATGCTAGGGGTCTGCCTACAAGGATGGCTGGTTTCCTTCTTCCTTCCTTCTTTCCTTTCTATATATGTCAAAGGTTGTTTTTGTTTACTTAACTCCATTTAAACCAGCCTAAGAGAACTGGACAAATCTAGTGACAAAGCATTGACCGTCAGAAATAATTCTGCTAAATCACAAAGGTATTTAAATAGTTATAACTAGGTGCATAATTCCTGAGAAAAAGCCATCGCTTTGCAAATTTGTTGTAACTTATGTTTCATTAAGCTCTGCATTATTTTTGTGGCAAATTACTTGTTTGATAAATCAAGAAAATCTTTCATTAAATGCTTCATCGTCATTCCAAATAATAGAATCGTGTTTCCTGTTAATATCTCTGCAAAAGAATAAGGTATATGACCTGACGTTTGCAAATCGTATTCTAAAGAAATGAAAAATACGTTCGCATAACATCGTAAATGTTATTTGGGATGTAAAACACTGCGATGAGGGTGGGTATAAGCTGGAGCATTGCTGTCAGGTCAGCGAAGGGACTGTGGCAAGTCTGCCCAGCCAGCTGGGGTCTAGCTGCTTACCCAGATCTGTCAGTTGTCAGCTCCCCCATAATTCTGACTTTGGTTGGGGGGCCGGGGTTTGTAAGGCAACAGCTGCAAGATACCAGGCATCGCCCCGTTATTCGGCCCTCACCCTGTCAGAGGATACTGGGGGGCACATGCTTTGGATGGTAGGGTGTGCTGTGGTTGACCTTGGAGCCCTCCTGCACCTTCGTCCTCCTGGTGGTGGCCCGCGGTTTCTCGCCAGGTCCTGTCCTCCCGTCCACACTCTCCCTCCCTTCCCCAGACCGCTACCTGTTCTGTTTGGAGTTCTGAGTTTCACAAAGGCCAGGAGCCTGCTAGTCGCCAAAGCCATATCAAAATCCGCTTTACCTCACTTTTCTCATAGCAAGTGCTTCACACTGTTCTGCGTTTTCCCTTACTTAACAGAATATTTTGGAGATATATCACTATATAAAAGGCTGCCATATTATACTTAATGGTAATAGTTTTTTTTTTTTTAATCAACTGCTTATGATATTCATTCACTATTAACAACAAAAAACACTGCAATAAATAGCTTACATATAGCATTTCACACAATCTGTGCACATCTGTAGAATGCGTTCCTGGAAAAAAAAAAGTCTGGGTTAGATTTTAGGTGCATTTTTTTTTTTTTTTTTAAATCCATGATACAAGATAAAGTGCATTCTGGCTCAGTTCCCTCCATTTGAAACACAGTTGTGTGTCTTATTCTCTCAGCCTGTGTGGACTGGTTATTGGTGCGTCTCTTTAGAGCCAACTTTCTGGAATTGAAATGTGTGCTGTACCTTGTATGCTTCCTTTCTTTCTGTTTAAGACCCAACTCACTGCACTGTAATATTCATCTCTATTCAACCACTGAAATGTTTTGCTGAAATCAATAATCTTAATGTTAAATTTAACAGATATAGTTCAATTCTTTCCACGTCACCTAAGAATTTCATACTGTTAAGCATTTCGTCTTGCTTGAATTTCCTCTATTTTCTTGAATTTCTTGTTATATTTAACAATACCCCATTTTTTTTTTCTCCTGTCTCTGGAGCAGCCCTTCTTTTAAATGGTGTAGATTCTTCTTTCTCTTCTGATTCCTTTCAAACTGGTGATCTTGGGATTGTGACCTCCATTCTTTTTACTTCTCAGTGAAATTTTACTACTTTTATAATTGCAAACTGCAGACTTCACCTCTTACCCGAGTTCTTGCCTCTTTCTCTCCACCCTGCAGACTATAGTATGGTGTTCCACAGGCACATGCATCTCAACTTTTCCAAAACAATGTATTTCCTCTCTTCCAATCCCTCCTCTATCTGTATGGATTCCCACTCAGTGCTGAAGCACAAATATAGGAGTTATTCTTAACTTCATCCTCTCTCTTACCATCCTCATCCTATGAATGAGGAGATTCTGTGGGTTTTTATCTCCTAGTGGTTCGACTGGTCTCGACCCTCCTCATCTCTGCTGCCAGTTCCTTAGCCAGGCCTTCATCTTTCATCTGACTCTTTGCAGCCTTCCGACTGGTCTAATTTCATCTTGTGGTGGCCCTGACGATCCGCCCTCTATGTTTAGTCTTTTCTTTTGAAATATAACTGACATAGAACATTATATCAGTTACAGGTGTACAACATAATTATTCGATATTTGCATATATTGGGAAATGGTGACAGTAAGTCTAGTTAACATCCATCATCCTACTGTTAAAATTTGATCGTGCTGAGAACTTTTAAGATCTACTCTTAGCAACTTTAAATATACAATGTCATATTATTAACTATAGTTACCATGCTGTATATTACATCCCCAGGACTGATTTATTTGATAACTATGTTTGTACCTTTTAACCATCTTCATCTATTTGACCCCCACCTCCCACGCCCAGCCTCTAGCAACCACCAGTCTGTTCTCTATCTACAAGGTGTTCGCTGTTTTTACATTCCACATATAAGTGAGATCATACAGTATTTGTCTTTCTGTCTCATTTCTCACTTAGCATAATGCTCTCGAAGTCCATCCATAGCATCGCATATGGCAATTTCCTTTTCTATGGCTCAATAATATTCTACTATATATAGTATTTTCTTTATCCATTCATCCATCAGTGGACATTCAGGTTATTTCCAAGTCTTGGCTATGATAAATAATGCTGCAATGAATATGCAGGTGCAGATACCTTTCTGACTTAGTGTTTTTATTTCCTTAGGATAATTCCTCAGAATTAGAATTGCTGGATCATATGGTAGATCCATTTTTAATCTTTTGAGGAACTTCCGTACTGTTTTCTGTAGCGGCTGTACAGATTTACGTTTCCACAGCAATGCCGGGTTCTCTTTAGTCCACATCCTCGCCAATGCGTTATTTCCTGTCTTTTTGATCAGTCATTCTGACAGGTGTGAGGCCATATCTCATTGTGGTTTTGATTTGTATTTTTCAGGAAATTAACAAAATATCCTTGGATTTTCTTCAAGTATTATAACATGAGGAACTATGGGTTTTTTTTCCTTCATAGTTTTAATAAAGATGTTTTCTATAATGACAGTACAGTTAATTTGCACAGAAAATTATAAATAAAAATGAGAAGCAACATTATTAATAATCTGAGGCCAATTAATGGGACCTGTGAATGTATGTCTTGTGTGGTGTTAATTATAACAAGACGGTTTGGAGAGCCAATCACTTCACGATAAATTCACTGTTTCTTCATAGGACAGGCCACTGACCCCTGGTCTCTGAGCCACAATCAGGTGGCTTCAGAAGGATGTGAGGAATGGCATGACTGCAGCGGCACAAAACCTGTTTTCTTAGAAAAAAATCATTAAAAGCAGATAGTCTGCTAACTTTCGTAGTTCTGCTGATTTGGCAAACGAACCACTCTTGCACTTACTGTCATTATATTTTATTCCGCTTTTATGGGTATGTGATATCCTCTTTTGGAAAGCATACATACAACCTAAATTTGCATACATACAACCTAAACATGCAAAATGTATCATTCCCTCGAGAACACAAAGAATTGCATTGTGTTTTGTTTTTTTGCCGCTGCAGCCATGCACAAACACGTCTTCCACTTCCAGTTATATGCTAATCATAACATTTAACTGCAGAAATGCAGAGTTCCAGATGGAGCTGTGTCATCCGAGTCCTTCCTGAAATGTCTTTCTCCTATGTCAAAGGAAGTTGCTCTTCTTCTGACGTCCCAGAGTAAATTATAAACAATGGAATCCCCGTTTGCTTTTGAAAGGAACTGTCGGACCTTCAACGTGCCTACCATAAACTAAGCAGACAACACCAAGCAAAAGGAGCAGAGCTGACTCGTGCGAACGACCGTGTGGAACAAAGTGAGGCCGAAGCAAAGAAACTCAGGTTCCGAGTGGAAGGGCTCAGACAGAGACTCGCACAGGAAGATGACAAGGTAGGTACCTCCTAAGGCAGCGCATGCTCGTTAGCCTCCCGAGAGCTTTCTCTAGCATGTATAAAGCATTTTCTCCTTTGTTAATATAAGGCACTAACCAGGATAAAATCTTTACAATCGAAACACTAAAATCAATGTAAAGATTGCAACTATAAGGAAAGAGAAAATATTACCTGAACAACATGCTCACCTTTCTGGAACTAATAGTCTGATTTTTTAATGCATGTTCTAGAGCTTCTATCGAAGGTTCACAAATAGCCAAAGTAAAACCCATGAATCACTGAGATAGTAATTAGCAAAAAATTATCATTTATACACCAAAAAGACAGTTCGTGGACCAGGAGCACTTGAACCAGACGTGGAATGAGGCTGAGGGATGCACTGGCCTACGGCATCTTACAGGGTGAGGGGGTGGTGACTGCTTAGTCTTCACAGTGACTTGTGTCAGCGTTGGAATTTGCAGGTCTTACCTCATGTGGAACCTGGGAAACTGTTCAAGTTCCATGTTTTCCAGAGGCATAATCAAGAAATGACCAAGGTTAAATTCATCTCACAAAATAAGCTAAATTAAGCTGTTTGTGTGACTAAATGGGTTCTGTCAGCTCAGGGAACCTTCCAGGTTGGTCTTTGTTTTTGATTTTAACACTTCAAATATGTTTTACCATAAGCGTACGTGTGTGTGTGCATGTGTGTGTGTGTGTTTATATATGGCCATGGTATCATTAGAGGTTGGTGTTTTAAAATTTTAAGCTTTAAGCCTTTATCAGAAGAATATTAAACATGTCATGATTAAATATTGAAATATGTTATCCTCAGTGCTCTCTGGTGTTTAAAAGTATGTAGCCATCTTATTTTGTTGTGTAAGGTCATGGGTTTATGGAGTATTCTAGAAGGTAGAGCCTGTGATGTCCTGGAAGCACACCTACAACAGGTAGGTGATTTCAGCTGAAATCACAAACAAAGAAATATTCTTTTTTAAAGAAACAGTCGGGAATGTCAGTGTGATTGTGAGACTGTCACCACATGGCAGCAGTTACTTCAGATGGTGTTCCAGCCATGGCATCTGCTCCTGTTGGACAACTTTTGAGGCAAAAAAAAAAAAAAAAAAAAAGTAGTTCCCTGGTTAGAAAGACTGTTTCAAGATAACGCCAGTTGGAACTTAAAAAAATTTTTAAAAACTGAATTACTTTTCTAAGGGGTAATTCAATAACAGAACACATTCCATATTGAGATTTTTAACCCAAAGTATTCCAAGTCAAGCAAACTAGATTTTCTTCTCTAATGACATTACATGAAAACAGGATCATTTGACCAGTGAGACTCATATGTTGTCCCCTGCTCTCACTAGCATTGGCTTTTTGGTGGACATTTTATCCTTGATTTTTTTTTTTTTTTAAATGAAGATGTGTGTATACGTTTTAGTCATGTGTGCATGTATAACAGGGCTGGACTGTGGAGGAGTAAGTCAGAAGAGGAACTCAGTAGGAAGGCTCATGAGAATGGTTATAGGTGTCTGTATTATCATGGCCATTATTCCTGTGAATAGTTTTAACATGAAAGTATTTATTAGAGGTGGTGGTAAAGAAACCTCTGTGTTTGTCAGCGTAGACTTTAGAAATCATTTGGGACCGAATCGTTGGCAAGGAAGTGGTAAAATTATAGAGGGTTTAAGGGCTCATGAAGTATTCGTTATGAAAGGTCCGATTCAGCCGTCTAGTTATGTAATTTTTAAAGACGGCTGTGGTCTCGAGGATGACCATATTATTGATTCCTCTCTGCAACAGAATTATTCTTCCCACATTAGCATCAGGCTTGGCCACGTGCCATCTGCCTTCTGACGCCTTATGAGCAGAAGCAATGTGTGCCGCCGCCAGAGGCTTTGAGAGCCAAAACAGGGCTCTGCCGTGTCGCTTTGCCTAAGTGTCTTTTCTGCCCTGTCTGATGTCATGAGGCCAGCATGTCCAAAATAGATATTATTTTCTCAGCCTGAATCCGAAAATGAAGAGGATTTGGAGCAGGCGAGCCTTTACTGACTCAAATGGATCCACATGGGTTAAAAAAACAACAACAAAAAATATCAGTATGTGTTGTGGTAAGCCACTAACATTTGGGATTTATTTGTTCCTACAGGAAAACTTAGTTAAAGCCTACTAGGATGGTCATTAAAATAATACAAAGACTTTAGATAAGAAATTGGTTCCAGTGCCAGAAGTAGATGGCAATTCAGCTTGTTGAAGGCTAGAATGATGGTCTTGAGATATTTGGGGTCTTGAGATATTTGGTACCTTGGTGTCCTGTAGTGCTTTGGAAGACTGGTGATGTACAGGATGAGCTTGTGGTTTTAGGTGAGTAGGTGTGTCCCTGGTAGTTCCTGTCTACTATTGGTGCATTTGACAAGCACATAAAAGAAAGATAACTCAGAAAAGAATGGTCAAGATTTCAAAGAGATATGTAAGGTAATGATAGAAATTTAAGTAGTTCTGTGACTTCCAAGGTCTGATTTTTATTTTCAAATAATAAAATATAAAACTAAGAATGTTTTTGAACAATGATGGTCAATTAAAGTTGAGCTTTCTGGCAAGGACCAAATCTGTGGTGTAGCCACGAAGCCTGTTAACAGTTCTGCATCCGTTCAGATCTTCCCTTGTACAGTTGTTCAGCTGAACAAAATGGCACCAGGGAGAAGAAAAGGAGATTGTGCCCCCACCAGCACATCTTATAAATTCAAGGGAATGCACGTATCTCAGACAGTGGAATGTCGCCAACAGAATTGCAGATGACAGTTGACCTATGGGATTTATTAGAATCAAATAGAAAAAAAAAGACTTCTAAGTTTTTGTGAAAGTTATACTGGTATAAGAGAGACTGATTTCTCAGGATTTGAAAGAATCTTTTATTTTTCCAAACTTCCATGGGCAGGTAGTTGGCTGAGCACGCTGTCAACCACCTGAGAGGGAATAATCCCCATTGCCACATTCAAATATGGCCATGGTATATAATAAGAAGGACCTCCTAGAGTGTAGAGCCAAGGGCCATGGAAAATGACAGACTAGGCTTCTATATTCAGGGAGCAGAACCTGGGCCAAATAAAGGAGCATTTTCCATGGACAGAATAGACACCCTGTGGAACATTTGTTAAGTTAGATTTCATAAATATTTCCTATTTATCCCTTTTTTTTCTTTAATATATTTTTATTTTTCAATCACAATTGACACATTAATTTCAGGTGTACAGCAAGGTGGTTAGACATTTATATAACTTACAAAGCGATCATCCCAATTAATTTAGTACCCACCTGACACCATACATAGTTATTACAATATCATTGACAGTTTCCTGTGCTATACTTTACATCCCCATGAACATTTTATAATCGGCACTTTGTACTTCTTAATCCCTTCACCTTTTTTACTTAGCCCTCCAATCCTGCTCCCATCTGGCAAACATCAGTTTGTTCTCTTTATCTCTGAGTTTCTGGTTTTTTTGTTCACTTATTTTGTTTTTTAGATCACACATATGGTATGTCTTTCTCTGATTTGTTTCACTTAGCATAATACCCTCTAGGTCTATCCATCTTATCATAAATGGCAAGATTTCATCCTTTTCTGTGGCCTAGTAATATTCCATTGTACATATGTACCACTTCTTTGTCTATCAATAGACACTCAGGTTGCTTCTGTATCTTGGCTGTTGTAAATAATGCTGCAATCACCATAGGGATGCATGTATCTTTTTGAATTAGTGTTTTCATATTCTTTGGATAGATACCTAGAAGTGAAATTGTTGGGTTATAAGGTAGTTCTGTTTTTAATTTTTTGAGAAACCTCCATGCTGTTTTCCACAGATGCTGCACCAGTTTGCAGTCCAACCAAAAGTGTACAAGGGTTCCCTTTTCTCCACATCCTGGCCAACACTTTTTTGATTCGTTGATAGCCATTTGGACAGGTGTGAAGTGACATGTCATTGTGGTTTTAGTTTGCATTTTTTTTATGCTTAGTAATGTCGAGCATATTTTCATATGTCTATTGGCCATTTGTATGCCTTCTTTGGAGAAATGTCTGTTCAGGTCTTCTGCCCATTTTTTAATCAAATCGTTTATTTTTTTGGTGTTAAATTGTATGTTTCTTATGTATTTTTGACATTAACCCTTTATTGAATGTATCATTGGCAAATATCTTCTCCTATTCATTAGGTTCTTTTTATTTTGTTGATGATTTCCTTTGCTGTCCAAAAACTTTAAAAATTTTATTATTAACGTATACAGTACATTGGTTAGATATTTATATCGTTTATAAACGATCCCCCTGATGGCGCTTTCTCTCCTCTGGCTCTCCACCTAGCCATTGCATTAATGCTGACTGCATGCTCCATGCTGTGCTCCCCATCCCCGTGACCATCTATCTACTATTAATTCGTATTTAACCCTTCACCTCTTTCTCCCAGCCCCTCAATGCCCCTTCCCCTTTGGCTGTCACCAGATTGTCCTCTATATTTGTGAGTCTGTTTTCGATTAGTTTGTTCTTTTTGTTTCTTATCTTCTGCATATAAGTGAAATCATATGGTATTTATCTTTCTCTGACTTCGCTCAGCATAATAACCTTTAGGTCCATCCATATCATTGCAAATGGCAGGATTTAATTTTCTTTAATAGCTGAGTAATATTCCAGTGTATATATGAATCATAACTTCTTTATCCGATTGTCTATTTATGGGCATTTAGGTTGCTTCCATATCTTAGCTGTTGTGAATAGTGCTGCCAAGAACATAGGGATGAAAAAAATAAATTAAAAGAACACAGGGATGCAGCTCTTCTTGTTCTTTGATTTATTGATAGCCCTTCTGACAGGTGTCAGGTGATATCTCATGGTGGTTTTAATTTGCATGTGTCTGATTAGTGACCTTGAGCATCTTTTCATATGTCTATTGGCCATCTGTATTTCCTCTTTGGAGAAATATCTGTTTAGGTCTTCTGTCCATTTTTTAATTGGATTGTTTTGTT